GTGGGGGGGGGAAGGTTTGTGTGGGAGGGAAGGGGCATGGGGGGGAAGTTTGGGGCCCCTATGGTGAAGGAGTGGGGCAGGAGTAGGCACTGCCCAGCTTAGTTGGGGCAGGACACGGGACAGAGCCATGGGTAGGTCGTTTGGGGGATGGGGGGGAGGGGGGTGGCATGTACCTACCAGATTTGTGCACGGGGTGAGGGTGAGGGTGAAAGTGGGCTGCCTGCTGTGGGCTTGAGCCAGTGGCTGCGCCAGCATCTTTTTGGTGGGGTAAGTGGGCTGGTGCTGTGCTTGGGGCAGGCAGCACTGGGAGGAGAGTTATGGCCTCACCGTAGTCCACCCTCCCAGTGCTGCCACCACCTGCCCCCCCTGCCAAGAAGAGGCTGGTGCAGCCCATAGCAAGCAGGCTGCCCTCACCCCAGGCACAAATCTAGGGGACACATACCCCCATGCCTCCCCTGGGGGTGCGTGCAGCTGTGGAAGCTGCTCTCATCCCCACCCGCCCAGATGAGCCACCCACAGCTCCGTCCCTTGCCCCGTCCTGTCCTGGCTGGGCAGCATCTGCCCCAGCCCCACTCCCTCCCTAACTATGCGGGTCTTGATCTGCCCCCCCCACCTCCCCTGCCCCACACACCACACCCCTTCCATCCCTTCCCCCCATAGACTTACCAGCTGGACACAGCTCTCCAAGCTGTCACTGTGTTTCTGGCTATGTGCATGCTGTGGCTGCATGCATGCAGGCAGCATGTATCAGTGACATCATTGGCCACATCTGCCAAAAAAACAAAAGCCGATTGCCAATATGTCAATTTTCCTTTTATCAGTGCTGATATGATATGGACTGATATATTGGTGCACCTCTACTGTTATACTATGAGATTTTGATTCCAAGATTCTCAGCTTCCTGGTGCTCCACAGAAGACTTCCCCTCTTCCAAATCTGAGGGAGTAAGAATTAAAATGTGTTTCCATGTTGTTGTAAAACTTTGAAAATGTTTTAAACTTGTGGACTGCAGCCCTCTCTGAATTACTTTGGACAGTGTACAGTTTCCTTGCTGTTGAGCACAGATGTCTTTGTGACAGTAAGCAGATGTTTGCTTCTGTGCAGGGGGACTTTCACTTCTGAACCGATCTTGTAGCGAGGGAACAATTTTGTCTTTGCATTTTTATTTAAGATTGTTTAGATTATTCTAAAAAAAATCCTCTAGCCTGACACTGCATGTGGTTGAGAGTTGGAATGTTACCTACAGCCAATGGGCACATTTTGGAAGAACAGAAAACTGGGAATGTACTTACCTGCATTTGCTGGGTACTACAGCATACTTTGCACATCATCCATCCTCACTTAAGAAGTGCACCTTGTTTGGGGAAGGCAGAATGAAGCAAAAAAGATTTTTTCCTTGAAGTAAAAGGTTAGGGGAATGGGTGGTCTAACTTGCTGCTGCAGGCAGAGGGAAGCAAAGTCCTCACATCAGCCTTTCCCCCCCTTCGCATGCAACATGCTGCTACTGCAACAGCTACAGAGTTAACCCACTCATGGCCATAGGCTAATTATGTGTACACCAGGGGTAGGCAACATTTTTTGGCTGGAGTGCTGAAAAAACCACAATGCCTACATTGGAAGGTGCTGGAGTACTGACATGTTGGATCCCGGAGCAGCTGTTTGCAGCCTTCCAGCTGCAGCCAGCTCACGGAGCCCAGTCTGCTTGCAGCAGGGCTTCCAGCTTCCCAGCTGCCTGCTGGGAGCAGCTTGGGCTCTGTGGCTGCAGGAGCTGCTTAGAGCCAGGGCTGGTGGTGGTGTGCTGAGCAAAATGGCCTTGTGTGCCATGCTTGGCATGCATGCGAGGGGTTGCTGACCCCTGGTGTAGACCAACACTGTAAAAATTTTAACTCTGTAGCAGCTGTGAAAGGATTAAATGGGTAGTAGTTGGGCATGCAGCAGGGAGAGGGGGCAGTGAGGCAGTAAATCCTGCCCTACTCCATGCAGCCAGAGTCTTCAGCCCTTATGTAAATCAGTTTCCCCTGTTTAAGACACCCCCCCCCAATTTCTATCATTGATTTTTGAGGGAATGCTGCATGTGGTATGTGAATGAATGCAGTATATATGTTCTTTAAAGAAAACACATGCTGACAGGTTATATCTTTTTATGGGTTATCTGTTAAGCCCAACCCCACCTATTGCTTTAGGACTGGGAAAAAGAGTTTTTTGTCAGCTGTACTTTAGACCCATTCTATTCAGGGTGGTCCAGTATGAAAGTCATGGGTAAATTAGACTGTTCAAGGTCTTGGGTTGATGATTAAAATGCAAAGATGATGCTCAACTACAGAGTATGGAGTCTAATGCTTTGTGGGGTGCAAGACTAGGTAATGATAGTGGTGACTGGTTTGTTTGCAGTCGCTGGGAGAATAGTACTGCTTAAGACAAATTGCTCCTTAATTTTGAAGAGCTATTAAGTGTTTAAGCACAATTTATCAAATGTTTCCCAGTAACAGGAATAATTGTTTTTCAGGGGAAGCTCTGTGGAGACAGACTAACAACTTTGGAGCTAATTATACACTGATGACTCCTTTGTTAAAAATCCCAGATGTTGATGGGGACAGTGTTCGGGACCTGTTGATCTTTACCACTGTGAGAGAAGAGGTACAGCACCTTAAAGTCATGATAGAGGCTTTGCATGTACTGCTAGCCATACTAGAAGTGTTGCTTATCTTCACTGAACTATTCTAAAATGTGAAATATCTATTTAAGCCTCTTTGAAGCTAGCATATTTCAAGAGGCCAGTTCCCCTTCTTTTTTGCCATGCAGAAGAGACCAATTTGTGCAGCTTTGGGCTCAGTACACATCTTTTACAAATCTCCAAATCATTAGAAAGTGTTTGATTTAAAAAAAAAAAATCCAAAGAAACTAACTCTGGAGTAAACATTGCCCTGCTGAGTTTGATGGTCATCCATTGGATATACAGTTAAAAGCAAAATTTCCTTGGCTTTGTCCTGTTGCTCAGACTCAGAGAAAGGTAAAGCTTGAACAAACAACCCCAGGAACTGTGGGTTTTAAAATATTAGAGCTGGACTCTGGATGGTAAATGCACATGCTTTGTCAGAACTATTGTTTTTAAAAGGGCACTGTCCTCAGTGTTGTCCTCAAACTTGCAATTAAGTTGAGGTGTACTCTACACACAGTTTTTGTGCTACTATAAAGCATGTTGGTTAGTTATAACTCAGGTTTATGTATTAGTATAGCTTTGCTGAAATAGCTCTCAGTAGGAATAGTATTAAGGTGACTAGTAAGTCATAGGAGTGCACCAACAGAGATTTTTTGGGCTGATACCAATGCCCAATCTTTAGCGAGCCATATTGGCCGATACCGATCTAATTCCAATATGTAGCCAGGGAGCATGGAGAGTGGCATCCGGCTGGTAAGTCTGTTGTGGGGGGAGGGGGTGATTGAGGCCTCAACGGTGAAGGAGGAAGTGGGGCTGGGGCAGAATGCAGGATGGAGCCGCAAGGGGCTCGTCCGGGGGGGGCTTCTGCCACTACGTGCCCCCTGAGGGGGGGGGGGGGGGTGTGCCCCCGGATCTGTGTGGGGTGAAGGTGGGCTACTGCCGTAGGCTGGGGAAGCACCAGGCTCTTCCTGGTGTAGGGGCTGAGCCGGGCTGCGCTTGGGGCAGGTAGCGGTGCTGGGTGGGGTCTGTCGCGAGCCAGTAGGGGGTGCTTCTGTGTTGAGCCACCCACCTCACTGTGCCCAACCACCTTCCAGGCTCCAAGTGCCTCCCTGCAGGTGCCTCACATCTGGCTGACCCCCTTCCTAGAACACACTGGCTAGCCTGGGGGTAACGGTGCCACCACCCACGGATGGGCTTGATTCTGGCTCTGCGCACCTTAGGAAACACAGGCCTAGTAGGCTTCGAGGGTACTTGATTCACTTCAAGAACTTGGGATGCTTCCCTCAGTCAGAAGCACAAGTAGTGGTCTCCCTTAGTCAGCTGAACCAAGGGGACCCCAAGACATAATCTAGACCCACTCCCAATAAGTCTCCCACACTAGATACAAAGGAGAACTTTATTGGTGTAGGTTTGGAATAGGGTAAAGGGTAGAGCAATATCAGAGAAATCCCATAGAGGAAACTGGCATGGCTGGGTAGCCTTTGATCACACATCTGAGTTACTGCAAGCTGTATATCTACCTAGATCTCAGGTAGCTTACTCACGAGTATCATCCAGAGGTGGGTGGAGATTCCCTCTGGAGACCGGCAGTTCCTTGATCATGAGTTTTGAGAGAGAGCAAGTTTCAGATGGTCCAGCTCTTCTCTCTCTCTGAGTCTTCCTCATGGCTGCTGCCCACCCCCTTCCTGGGCAGTCCTTAACTTATATAGCCCTTATGACCTCATTTACCTGGTCCAATGGAGGCCAGCACCTGTTGGCTGTCAGCCAACCAACTTGAAATGCATCACTAGTTGCTGGGCAGACTAGCAGTTCCCAGCTCCCCAGGGAGCCCAAACCCCTCACCCAGGTATGTGATGCCAGTCACGTAGGCAGAGGGAGCTAGTTTCCCCCCTCCCTCAGGAATGTATCTAGCTCAGGTTATCTAAAGAGATAGGGTAAGGTGTGTACCCTCAGCAGGGCCCATCCTAACCAAATTGTCACAGAGCAGAGTTTTTGGGGAGAGACAGAGGTGGCCTTCTGCCACAGGTTCTACGGGGGCAGGGGAGCTGCAGCCACCCCAAAATTTGCTGTAGCCCCCCGACACCTCTTCCCAGCACTGCCCACCCCGAACATAGCCCCGGCCCAACCACCCCCACTCATCAGAAAGAACCTGGCACCACCCCTGACTCCAGCCTGCAGCGGCAGCCTGTCCTTGCCCCATGCAGATCCAGGGGCATGCCCCCCATGCCCTCCCAGGGTGCACATAGCAATAGGAGCTTCCCCAGTCTCCACTTGTAGCTCCATCCTGGTTGTGCAGGGCCTGTCCCTGCCCTGCTCCCTCCCTCACCACTGGGGCCTTGATCTGCCCCCCCAACGCCCCTTTCCTCACAACAGACTTATCAGCTGGACCCAGCTGCTTTCCATGCTGCCGGGCTGTGCTCCTAGCTGTCTGCATGCTGCGCTGACTGCGCATGCATGGAGAATTTATTGGCCTCTTTATCAGCCGCATCAACCAAAAAAGGTGATTGCCGATACTATCACTTTTCCTTATATTGTTGCTGTTCTGATATGGGACTGATGTATCTGTGCGCCTTTAGTAAGTGGTAGTGTTACTTATTCTTTCCTGTATTTGAGTCCAGTTTTTCTCCCGCCCAGATGGGGGGTCAGACTTGAAGATCTACAAGGTCCCTTCCGACCCTACTTCTATGATTCTATGAATAGTTATTCCATTATAAAATAACTTTGTACTAATGTGAATGTTGATCAACGCTAAAAGATAGCAGTACCATATTATAAATAAGAACATAAGAAATTCCACAGTGGGTTCTGATCAATGGTCCATCTAGCTCAGTACCTTATTTCTGACCGTGGCACCCAATAGACGTGTGTTCCATGAATTTGGCTAATCCTTTTTTGAACTTGGTTATACTATCTGCCTCTTTAATCAAGTAAGACTAAGCTGTGATATCATTCAGGGAGTTTTTGTTTTATATCTTATTTTAATGTTCTACCTGTTTTTATTAGTTTTCTCTCTTATTGTAAGCTGCCCTGAGCCATCATTGGAAAGAGTACTGCGTAATAAAAGTGATTCCTCTGGTTTATTTTAAACTTGCCTAATGCTTATTTCAGTGGGTGCCCCCTAGTTCTTGTGTTCTGGGACTTGGTGAATTACAGTGTCCTGTTCACTTTATCCATACTTTTTATGATTTTTATAGATTTCTATCACATCCTCCCATCAGCCCTCTCCTTTTTTAATCTGTCCTGTACAGCAGCTACTCCATACCCCTGACCATCTTAGTTGCCTCTGTACTTTATCTGCTTCCCATTTATTCTTTTAAGATGTGGAGTACAGAATTGAACTTGGTATTCGAGATGTGGATGCACTGTGGATTTACACAGTGGCATAACAGTGTTTTCAATTCCTTTCTATTCTTAATGATTTTCCAACATTTTATTGTCTTTCTTGGATCCTGCTGCACATCATGCCAACATGTTTAGAGACCTATCTACAGTGACTCCAGGGTCCCTTTCCTGAGTCATAATGGCTCAGCCCAGATTTGTGTATGTAACAATGATATACATAATAATAATGATATGCTTAAAGTGGGGGGGTTGTATATAGACAAACCTTAAGCCACTCTAAAAGACTAACCAAGGTGAAGAAACCCCATAACTTCAGGGTTTCGAGTAGCCCTTGTTTTCACTGTTTGAGGCATCACTGTTATCAAGGTCATCGGAAATTCCACCATCTCTAACTCCTACATCCCCTCTATTTTACTTCCTTCTCACTTGTTTCCCTTGCTAATTGTCTTATTCTTATCTTGCAGTTTGTATCTCAAGGAGCCAAGAAATAGTTGAACACAAGCCATACGTGCAAAGCCTTGTCAGTGGCTTTAGAGTTTCTTTATTCTGTTTAATTTTACAGTCATCACAGTGTGAAGCCCTCCTTACTCCTCCTCCTGCCCCTCTACTAAGGGACTTGGTTTAGCTTCTGCCAGCTTTTAAACAAAAGGGCATTGTTATTTAAGAGATGTCTTTCTACATTAGGTGGACTGTAGCTCATGCTGTGGGTGGCTCACATTAAGTTTCTGCAGCTTGGAAAAGTTTCTTTGGAAGAGTGGTGCAGTATTTCTGTGAACTGGCTCTGCTACTGCTGAACTTCTTAGAGTTAAATGATTCTGATCAGCAGCAAGGATGTTGCCTATATTTTGGCTTTCTCTAGAGGGTCAGCAGCTTCAGGCTGTAGGCAGTGGGAAAGGAAACCTGTGTGTTGTGGCAGGGCCTGTTTTCCTTACAGCCCTGTGGGGTGCTGGTGTTTAGAAGACCACTCTTGGTGAGATCTTGGAAACAAACACAGTGGTGCAAAGCAGTAATTAGAGCATAGCTTCTTTTCACCTCATGTATTTATGTTTATTAAACTACAGTGAAGGGCAGGTCAGATTCACTAGCCATTTTTCCAACCCAGCCTATAAATGTCACTGGCTGCTGTTGTCTTTGGGAATTGATTCAGTACCAGAGTTTAATGGCTTCAGAAATAACCAGGAAAATGCAGCTCTCCATAAGGGATAACAACTAATGACTGGGCAAAATCTGTATCCTTCTGCACACAGAGGGAACTGTCAAGTTTGTTGTTCTCTCCCTGTACCTTGAGCTGGGTTGGTAGTGGAAGTGAGTAGTCAGGAGTTCTTATGTTGTTGATCTGCAGAAATGATGTTCTTACGTGTACTCTCTGTGCAGCCCTTACCATCAGTTACCACTCCCAGATATATTTGGTCTTTAGACGCCATCCCTCTAACTTCTCCATCACATGCAGTCTTGCCTGCTGGCTCTGCTAGATATGATTTTTGCCCAGTCATATGACTGAGCTTGGTTTTGGTCCCTTTGTTTTTTTGTGGCCAAAGAATTTCTGGAATATTGGGCTGGAACAGAAAGCTTACATCTAAAAATGTATCTGTGGTCAGAGGTTTCCTAGGTCAGTGAATAGAGTCCTACTGCTGACTTCGAAAGGCATAGGGCTGGGTTCTTAATTTGAGTTAGCACCTTAGCACTGCTGCTTTCTGTATAGAGCCTTAAAAGGAGCTTAGTTTCATACTGTCTTGGCATGCTGATATTGGATTTAAGTTTGCTGAGGTGCTGTCATTCTTGTCTGTGATTCATAGCTTCTGAGGTTCAAGTACCATCCAGGCCTTGTGGGCATTTATACACATGCTCTTGGGAGGAGGTGGGCCGGGGGAGAGGGCTCTTTAATTAGAGCAGGTCCAAGAGCCACTCTAAAGCACCCAGAGTGTCATGTGCTCAGTGTTTCTGTACTGAAAAATGGCAGCAGAGGTGCTTTAACTAAAGCTCGTCAAATGAGCTTTAGTTAAAGCATCCCCACCACCATTTTTCAGCACAGAAATGCTGATACAAGTGACGCTGAAGTCTGGGATGCTAACACGTGATGCTGGAGTCTGCTGAAGTGCAGTAATTACCACGTTCCAGCAGACTTGATTAATTGAATTTGCTCCAATGTGCTGTAATTACAATGCGTTGGAACAGTCTCAGTGCCTATGTATAAGTAGGCACCCTGTGTTCATGACTTTGTCATATAGACCAGTGGGAGCCAACCTTTTTGGCAGGCATGCCACAAATTAACCCTGCTCACTTCCCAGGTGCCACTCTGATCCCTTTCCCCTACCCAGTCCACAGCTCTGCTTTCTGCTCCCTGCCCTGTGCAACCTGCTCCATCTGCTACTCTGCTCTCTACTTCCTGCTTTGTGCCTCCTGTCCAATTTGCTGCATTGTTTTATGCTTCCTGTTTCATCTGCTGCTGTGCTGCTTGTTCCTTCCCCAAACTGGTATACACAGAGGCTGCACATGTCACATGTGGCACCTGTGGTACAGATTGGCCTTGCCTGGTGTAGAACATTTAAGTGCCTCTTGCTTCTCTTTCTGGAGGCTGTTCCAAATGGAAGCTAAAAATTGGCTGGTATTGGAAGAGGACAGGACAGGAAGAGTAAAGGGAAAATGCAGTGTCCTCACCAGCAATTCAACATGTCACAATAAAGCAGTAAGAGGTAGCACGCCTGCTGTGTTTGCATAGCCATTTACTTCACTGCTCACAAGTTAACTCACGATTTGGGATAGATGAGTATGACACATGTTATCTAAAGCCTAAATCTCATGTTATCCAACACAATGGGAGAAATGCACAAAGCAATAGTTACACACAGTCACTAATGCTACTGTCAATAGAGCTGAACCCGCCATCACACCATTTCAGAAAGTGAAAACTGGGGCTTATAGGCTGGATCCTCAATAATGGTAGGGACTCCTAATGGCTGGATGATTATGTTGGGAATTATTTAGAAGCATCTTAAGTTAAATGAAATGTCTTCATTTAACTTCATTGTGAAATGTCTTCCAGTTTTGTGGATGAAGCTGCTTAAAGATAAGGGAGCCTCAAAGAGGGTGTGTTCCCAGACTCATAAGCTGTCCATAATGACCCACTGAACCATGCAAAACTGTCACCCTCTCAGGTTTGGGATGAGTTTGCATTTGTGTAGCAGCAGCAGTAGCACACTGACCTGCATTTCTGTTGTCTGTTTCCTCTTATTTTATTTTTCTCTGTAGATTAAAACCTACATCCTTTCAGGAAAAAATGGCAATCAGGTCGGTTTCCCTGCACGACTGGGTTTGGGCAGAAAGGCAGTTTATCTAATGTACGCTACAAAAACGGGCTCCAACTACCTTCTCTTCCATACAGGTAAGGTTTGTTACTGGCTGCATTCTACAGACAACCGCACACATGGTACTGAGCAGTCCTTTTGGAAGGGTATTTGCTGAAATATGACTGACTTGAAAGTTTAGCTTCTAGTTTATAAAACAGCCATTTGAGCTTCACAGGCAAAGGGAGCCCTGTTGCTGAAAATAAGACTTATTATGAACTTGGTGAACTCTCCTTGGCATGTAGGCAGTGCGTGTGAAGTAAGCTGGTTTGTGCTTTCCAAAGATTGACACATGATTTCTGAGAGGAGAGGAGGTGGTTTAGAGCAAAGGTATCAAACTTACCCTGGGCCCTGGCCACACCCATGGGGCTGCATTTGGGCAGCAATGTTGGTCCAGACCGGGCAGCAGCATGGGTCTAGAGGCATGTGGCTGCATGCAGCCACATTCATGCAGTGTGGAACCAGGTGGCTTACGCCTATGAGGAGCCAGGGGCATGTGACAGTGTGTTGTTCTGGCCAGGCAGCAGCACATAACTAAGGCTGTTCAGCATTGTTAGCCATGTTTAGTCAGAGCTTCATACTGCTGCACAACCCTGGCTCCTTGCATGCCTCCAACTCATATTGCATGAACACAGCTCTGTGCAGCTACATGCCCCTGGAACTGTGCTTCTATACACCCCTGACGCTGCCAACCAGCCAGAGCTCTGCCACTGAGTAGCAGTACACATTCATGTGGCTATGTAGCCCAGCTCCATGCATGCTGTTCTCCCGTGGCGCGGAGCTGTCTGGGCTTGCAGCATTGTGGAGCTGAGGGGCAGTGCAATTTTGGTAGCTGGTCTACTGGTAGGCCAGGCACAGTGGTTCTGCAGGTTGCACAAAAGCCAAAGTAATTTTCCATTTTCATTGTGTTCTCTCTCTGCACAGTAAATTCTCTCTATGGCTACTCCTTGAAGGATCTCTACAGTATGGCAACTGGAATGGAACCTAAATTAGTCAGCCTTAAGCAAGATCCTCAATGGGAGAAGAAGATTGAGAGCAGCTCACATCACATATCCCTTCTCAGGTAGCAGCAAGACAGCTCTCTTGTCTTGTGATTGAATTGGAGGGCTCAAAGTCTGTTTCAGTTGCCAGGGGGAGATGAGGGGACTGGCATTGTCTGTCAGAGAATCCTTTCCAGTGTTGTTTCTGACTCGCCCAAGAGCCTGTCTGTGTACCACAGTGAGGAGGAGGCAGAAGGCATTGTCTCACTGAGAGACAGCAAGGTGAAGGGGATATAATTGTGTGAGCTTGCGTAGGGGAAAATGTAAGGACCAGAAAAGACCTGGGAACTAGAGGGGGGAGACCTAAATTTTAGAGAGAAGTCAAACCTAATCAGGAAGAAAATACTCCTATCCATGAGATATCTGTCAGGCTGTGGCATTGCCTAGTGATGGGAAAAAGTGGAAGCCCCAAGCAACAGGGACTTTTATAACTAGGCAAGAAAGTCTTGTGGAATGCCCTGCTTATCCCATTCCTGTGCACTGGCCCAGGGATATGGACTGGGCAATGTAATGTATTCTCCATTTCTGATTTCTGTGGTTTTTACCACGTTTCAGGCTTGGGATACCCCAGTTCAAATTTGCTTAAACCAGGGATCAGCAAACATTTAAACAAGGGATCAGCAAACATTTAAACAGGGTGGGGTGCCACTGTCACCCAGTTGCTGATTCCTCTGGCCCCTCCCCCTACCACTGCAGGCTGGATGCAGCTTGCGGGCTGTAGGTTGCCAACCCCTGATTTAAGACTAAAATTAGTTGATACAAGTGAGATACTGCCCACAAGATGCAATTTATTGTTATCAGCAAATTGAATTGTGGCTGTTGCTGTTTCTGCAAGCCTTCAAAATCCAGACCTTTGCCAATTGAACCAGCCTTCAGATTCACAGCTTTTTAAACTCTTATGCCAACACATGCGTGCTCATTCCTCAGTAGGCTCATTTTCAGTTCGCTATACAGGTGCCCACTTCTGTACACTCGCACTAAAATACACTTAACTCTCAGGCCTCAGCTACACTGAGATGCATTGCTTATGGGGGACTGTAATGACAGTCATGTGATTTGGACTTGAATAAAGCATGAGTTCAGAGTTAAGGTTGTGTGTTTGAGTGCACAAGTAGATTGGGAGGAGCTGACTGGGTGTGTAGTGCTTCAGGGAACACGTTAAATTTTCCCTACTGTAGTTCTTGTCAGACCTTCTTTTGACAAGACCTGAACTTCTAAGTAGTAACAAAAAGCTTTCATGGAGGGTTGAGAAGGGAGCACTTCCAGATTATAATGATCCATCAGAGAGAAACAAAGGGTGCAAACCAAACATTCTCTGCTCTAACAGTCACCTGCACTGGACAGAAACCAAAGGTTTTTTTGTTGTCTGTGTGCAAGGGAAGGTTTCATTTGCTTTCAGCCAACCTTTTGTAATGTGACGTGATGGCTGACTGCAAGGGGGAGCTGCTGTCTGTGGAAAGAGAGTTTCTAGTTGCATTAAAAAAGTGGACAACCAGCAGCCTGTGCTTCCCAAACATCAACTTCAGCAGAGCCTGACATTTCCTCATATAGCCTTTGTTCCTTCTGGCTGGGATGAGAGCCTTTGATTCCTCCATGGTGCACAGCAAAAATAAATTGTCATTCTCCATTTGGAAAGTTCAGTTGTTTTTTGCCATCTTCCCTCCTTGTGTAGCTCTGGAGACATTCGTTACATGGTGAAGCTTCCCAGGAGATCAGAGGAGGATATCTTGGTTGTGAAGTCAGATATGGCTGAGCTGCTCAGTGGACAAAATCTTGAATCCCTATGGACTCTCAACACATCCCATATTCTGAGGTAATACTTGCTGCTGTAGGAGTGAAATGGAGTTGTTCCAAGAGTTTGCCTGTAACACCCAACATAATAGTGAAACACAAAGCCTCTCTTATGTGAAGTTCACATTTCATCTATGAACATGTCACATGTCCTCTGTTTGCAAAGTCAGTTACCACAAAAAGGAAGAGCTTGAAGCTCTGTGTTTCTAGAGAGCATGGGAAGCTTATCCTTTGCCCGCAGCCCAGCTTGCTGACACTGCCTGCTTTGGCAGCATGCCAGAGGAGGTGCTCTGGTACTTCTAGAAGTCACGGCATTGGCTGCATTCCTTCTCCCTTCCAGGTCGCCGTTTGTTCTGTTGCCAGCCTCACCAGACCCATGGCTCTGTCGTAAAATGCCAAGCTTCAATTCGCAGTTGTTCCATGTGGAGTGAATCTGGCCTGTTCCCCAGGGTGTGCCATGGAGGGGGATGGTCATACCTCATCTTCCCTGATCGCTATTATTGGCTACATGACCTTTCCTTATTATATAAGTACTTCCCCTCCTAAGGTCACAGCTCCCACAAGAGAGAAGTAGCATGCAAGTGCAGCTTTGGCAGCTTAAGGAGCAAAGGGTCTGGCCCAGGTGGTAATGTGGAATGTTGAAGGCAGCAGTCTGAGCCAGGGAGGCAGTAATGAGGTCTCTCACTGCAGCAATTGCTGTGAGAGTGCAGACAGATAAAAAAGGAGGCACTAAGTCTGACACTCGGATCCCCAGCTTACTCACTACAGTGTCTCAGTGCCCTTTTCCTGTCTTTCTTGCAGCAAGCCTGTGCTTGGTTACTATAAACCTGATGTTCTTGACATTGTCCTTGAGAGTACAGTTGGACCCAACAGGAAAAAGGTTTGAAAGTTCTTTGATTTTCCCTTCTCTGCTCCCTTGCTGACTATAGTCTGGGTTTGGATGAGTATAAGGAGTCAGAGCTGCAGCCAGTTGATGGGAGCTGCTTCTCTTGGTAGGTGTTGATGGTATGGGGTGAGAATGTGCATCTAGACAATTTTAAGGCTTTCCCAGCAGGTTCCCTAAGGTAATCCAGGCTGTTTTGTTTTCCCTCCATCAAGTTTCTGAGCTAGATGTCAGGTGAATTTAAAAACCACGTGATTCCTCTGAAACAGCCTGTAAAATGTGGCTTTGCATTGACTTGGTTCACATATGCCTTGGGACTTCCAGAGGCACGTTATACATTTTATGGCTATGGCCTGTGGGTATACCTTGTAAATATCAACTGGAAAGGCAGCAAAAGCACAGGAAGAGAGAGAATGCAAAGGGACCAGACTGCCAAGGGCAGTCAGGGGACCCAGGCCAGAGCAAGAGGAGCTAGAGGTCTGGTTCAGAATGGCAGGCATGCCATCCTACTGGTAAAGTCTGGGTTCCTCTGGTCTCTCAAATCCTGCCTGGGACCCTTTTTCCACATAGCCAAGTATGTTGTATGCACAGGAAGGCATAGAACTGGGCAGGGCTATTTGACCTCTCTTCTCACAAGTTTACAGATCCCTAGAGCTGTCAGTGCTCTGTGTACTCCAGAATAATCTTTGTCTTTTCTCTGCCAGATTGTGATTGTTGGGAGTGGTTCTGGAGCAGTTCAGTGGGAGCTGGAGCTGAATTCAAGAGCAGGAAGTCCCAGGCCAGCCACCCTCCCTACTGCAAATCATCGTTCCACGTTCCTCTTCTGGGGGGAGTACCAGGCAGAGGCTAATGAGACGGTGAGGGCGGGCAAGCAGTGATAGCATATATCTACAACCAGAAGTTACAGAATCCCTAGTCTCTTATTTTCGTATCTGCTCTTTGCACATTCTAAGGCCTGTGGTGGGAGTACTCTGTTATGTGCATACATGGAGGGACACATCGCTCCAGTCTTTTCTGTCAGAGAGATTGCCACTAATTCAGGGCTCTGTTCATGCTCAGACCCTGTGGTGCATCAGTGGGTTCCCTGTCTGAATATGTGCCAACCTATGACAAAATAGTCTGTGCTGGAGCTGTCAGTGGAGAATTTGATTTGACTATTCACTGTAGAACTTGTTCTGAGGATGTGGAGTCTCTTAGGTGATCAGTCAAGTTTGAACTGTCCCTCAGTGTCCTGGAGCAATCTCTCTGCCACTGAACAACACCTTCAGTAGAAAAAGGTAACTAGCACAGCAGAACAAGCGGGGCAAAAAGGGCTGTGCCCGTATCAGACCTGCACTGAATGACGTGTGCCTGACACAGGCAGGCACTCTAGGTGTGTCCCCCATAACTGTCCCAGTCCATACATCTTTTCAGATCTCCCCTCTGTAACAGCTATGTGTTCCCTGCACATGGGAGAACCAGCTTAGAGAAGTCAAGAACTGTACAATAAAAAAATGGTAACTGGGCGGCTACACAACAGTAAATCAATTCTAGCCCTGGTTTTGATGGCACTAGAGTTCAACTGAGTTAGATAGGTAGTGACCCCAGTCATACCCAGTGTCATTGGTACCAGGGCTGGAACTGATTTACTACTGTGAGCACACTCCCTCCCCATTGGACTCCTGGCATGAACTAGCAGGGATGAGCCAAATCTGGTGTGTTTCCTGCCTGCCACGACAGCATTTCAGGAACATGGAAGCAGGGTTGCGTACTGAAGTGCTCCATCACAGACCCTTCTCTGTTTGTTGCAGCGATCCCGAGTGTCCTTCCAGAACCTGTACCTGTTTCATCCCTCTTACCCTAATGCCCTCTTGGAGCTGGCCAACAGCACAGAGCAGATAGTTGTCTTTGATGGTAAGTGTGGCTTCTCAAGAAGCCAGGCTCCCCTGGCTGTTTGGCCCTTTACTCTTACAGAGCTTTAGAGTTGGCTCTGAAACTGGGTGTGGAGGCAGAGCTCTGACAGACTCCCTACCCATCCAAGGAGCTGTGCCTCTGTTCTTTGTTCCAGCTGTGCTGTTTGAGCGGAGCCGGCATGCGTGCTACGTGCTGCTGACAGGCCCTCAGAGCAGTGAGGAGCCAGGCTTGGTGTCAGTCATGAAACGGAAACTGAAAGAGGACATCACTGACAGTAAGGTGATATGGCTAGGCCAGGTGTCAGGAGACAGCGAGCAGTACATCAAGGACCGCCTCTACAGGATGCGCTTCCAGAGCCAAATCTGAACTCACTGAAATGGACCCAGGAGAGGCTGCCCCAGCACAGTCTCCTCTGAGCCACCTGTCACTTGCAGCAGTGGACTTGATAAACCTAGAACAGATTCAAATAAAGTCACCATTTTTGATCCACAAGCTAAAATGTGGCTGGCCAGAAAATAGTGCAGCAAAAAAATCTGGGCACCCAAGTACCTATATGAGTGGCTGCCAGCACAGCCAACCTCTGAGCCAGTGGGGCTACAGTCCTCAGTTGTCACTTCAGGAAAACAGGGCTCTTTCCCTTTCTAAATCAAACAGTACCTACTACACTGCAGAGCATACCTCAGCTAGGCCTAACTTCTTGGTACCTCCCAACCATAACCCACAGGAAGGCACAGCTGTTTGCTGGGGAGACCTGAGTTGGTGACTTTGTTGTTTGCATTGAGGAGAGAACATGTCCATGACAGTGAGAGACAAGGAGAGACAGTGTAGGGTGGAGGAGCGGGGTTGCTTGCATGGTGTTGAATTTTCCTTTCTATTTGGCCATATATATGCCTTGATTCTCCTTAGGTAGCAATTTCATCCTTTACAAGCAGCTGACTGGCCAGAGGTTGCTTCCCCTTGTTCTCCATTGAAAGACCTGAATATCTGGCTTCAGCAGCAGTAGAGCAGTGAGACGTAGATAATGACAGACCTCTGAGAGGAAATGCAGTGGTTGATATATCTGGACCAGGAGAGCCACAGGCTAAAATGTAGTTCTACGCAGAAAATGTGTTGTTTCTTTTTTTATACAAAAGACAGGCCTCTTGCTTCCCAGGCTGGTTTTCACACCGTACACTTAGATCTGCTGCTGACTAAAATAGGAGTATGCTGTTTTTCACCCCTGTTAACCATGCAACACTGGCACAGCTCTAGGAAAGGGAGCTCAGCTTTGTTCCAGTCCATGCAACAAGGGTAGAATTGTTAGCCAGGTCCCAGCTATAGATGATATGGGAGCCAGAATGGACCAATCCTGGCTTGTTGATCCCTAGGAACACTATGAGAAACTGCTCAAGTGTGCAGAATAGAACTTGCTTGGGACCTGTTTGTAGCTGTTCTTCAGAGTAGAACTATGCTTTAGTGTTCCACAGAGACAGGGTAGCTGTTTCAAGATGATGGGAGACCCTAGAAGATGTGGCAAGGTCCTTCTGTTTTGTAGCAAAGCTGCAGAAAAGCTTAAGAGCACTCCCAGTCCTTGTCCCCTGCTCTAATCATGGGATGACTCTGCCCCTTTACCATAAAATCAGTTCATGGGTATGGACATGTGGGTGCTTTTCTTCATAGATGCCCTGCCCTCTCGATGGTAGGTATTTACTGTCTTGGTTTGAGTATGGAGCTGCTGTGTGAAGGGGAGATGGTACAGCTGGGGAGACCATGCATGTGCTGCTGAGTCCCTGGTGGGACAGGAGTAAAACAGTGAGTGAACAACAGAAATCAAAAGCAGAATGGGAATGTGTGGGGAGAAGCTGCTGGGAGCAGTAGTGCCCTACTGACAGGTCTGGGAGGGTTTTGGTTTCAAAGTGGGGTGCTGTGCAGTGATGGAACTGTAGCCCGGCCAAGTCCTCTCGCTGCTCTGATTCCCATGCAGGAGGCGGATGCAACTGTGCGACCCTGGCCTGTGTGTGGTCATGTAAGTGGGGGCTCTCAACAAATACTGGGCTCTCTTTGGTTTGCTTGAGGGCTGTGTGTAGAAACACTGTACAATGAGGAGATGGCTCAGGGCTGCAGAGGTCCTTGTGCCAGTTCTCTCATCCATTACAAATGCACTGAGTCTCCAGCTGCTGCTGGGCAGTGCTCTCTGAGTGTATCACTAACTCTTCCTCTTCCGGCTGAATGGATTGCTTTTTCTCTTGCTGGTGTTTGCTGATGCAGCAGCTAGTGGTTTGGTCTGGCAGTTGGGTTCCTGCTTGGAGTCCTGCTAGGAGCTTTGGCAGGGAGATGCACTTGTGCTTGACTTCCACTCTGGATTGTAGTGATTCTGGTGGTTACTTGCTCAGTGCAGTGCTCATGGTTGCAAATGGGAGCACTTCCAGTTGGCAGGCAAGATGTTGGTGTGAGGTCAGTCTGTGCTAGCAGCTTGCCTCTGCAGCACAGTGGAGCTCCACCACTCTGGGGCAGAACAGTCAGGGAGTGTGTGAATGTCAGACTTTCTGCTCTTGTTGGCTGGAAAAGGCTCCCCAACAGACCATTCTCCACCAGAGCTGTGAGCTGCTTCCCCTGCTGTGTGACACCTCCAAGCACCCTGGATTACAAATGGTAGGTTTCCCTTTATTTCACTGTTGCAGTTTCCTTTCACCCAGCATTCTTAGTGATGGAGGCACAGCACGTTACTCTTTGCCAAGCCTCTATCTTGCTTAGCAGGGGGAAGAGATGAATGCCAGTGGCACTTGGGTTCCTTGGGCACAGTGATGTGACTTGGCTCAGCAGTAAATGTGGACCACACCCCAGGACTGGTCCTGTTCACAGTGAAGATGGCAGGTTTGTGCACCTAATGACCCTCCAGCTGGGTTGCTTGAGCAGGAATTTGTGTGCTTGCCTCTGCAAGTTGCACTGTGATTAGGACATAGGGAAAGTCCAATGCTTGCATGCTAATTTAATTTCTATTTATCACTGTGCTGCCTGCATCTCACTGAAATGCCCCTTGAATGGCATGAGTGCTAGGGATGTATTCTGGGCATCAAGAATATGTGGTGTGCAAACAGCTTCTCCTGGCTGCTTTTCCTCTTCCTTCCCAAAGTGCTGCACATGCTTGCCCTTGCCAGGTCAGCACACTGACTTTCTGCAGGAGAGCTGGATTTGCAGCATCAGGGATGCTTTTGCCTTTCATTACTGTTATCACATTTCCAAAGCTCTTGGAAAGCTCTTCCTGATGCCCCTTTGGCAGCTCGGTTAAAATGTCAGTGCCAAACCAGCCCCCTCCTAATGAGGCAAGAGTTTTTTCTAACTGCTTTTTCCCCTGTTGCTGTTTGTTGCAGTGTTTAATGAATAATTTACTTTGTGCCTTGATTCAATAACTCAGATGGGTGATAGTAGCATAAATCACTGTGTGTATCATGGTGTGTGTTTAACACTAAGACTGTTTGTTCTGGTTCTATAACTTATTGCAAATTGTGCTGTACAGGACTTGGCTTAAACGTGATGATTCCAATAAATTCTTTTTTGCATTGGTGCTCTGCTTTTACTGCTGCTTGTTGATTAACTAGCTCAAGTATCCCTACAGTTCAGGAAATGAAGAACTGGGCTTCGCTTTCTTTAAAAAAGGAAGAAAAAGAGACCTGAAGACTGGAAACCTCTTCTGAAAGGAGGGGAACTAGTGACACTTCATGATCACACAGCTTGCTGCTTTACATGAAGGTGAAGTACAAAATTTCCCCTTTCATTTGGAACATGAATTCTCCTACAGCATAGCAGGGGCCCAAGGATCTGAGCTAGGGTTAGTCCACAGCAGCTTGTCAGAGCATGACAAATCAAACTGGAAAACAAATATTTGTTGCCCTTCCTGGCAGTGAGACTGGGCTGGACTGTCTGCTTGCTTCCCCACTGCTTCAGGGTGACTCATCATCATGAACTTTCAGAAGAACTGGGTGTTTCCCTTTGTAGCTGCGTTGTAGTGGGTATATAGGGGAACCTGTTTCCTGCCTTCTCTAAACAAATGCATTATGCTGATTTCAGACTAGATCTGGGTAGTGGTGCAACCCTTTGATGTTGGCATTTGTAAACTGGCATAAAACTGTTGTAGCGTCAGCTTCAGAAATCTCTGACAGCTCCCTCACCTGGCTCTCGTGGCTGCTGAGCCTGCAGTGCTCAGTGGGCACCCAGTGTGTTGTGGCGCACAGTCCTGAACTCTTGGATTTACTGATTGGTTCTTTTCTTGCTAAAGCTCAGTACCAGGTACTCTACTTGCATGTGTACCAGATAAGTGCGTAGCGTGCTGAACTGCAGCACTCATTGCCAGGTCCAGTTTGTTGCCTGTTAATTATTTTGCAACATGCTTTTGTTATCTGCCTCTAGATCAAATGTGTAAACTACTTAAATGCAAAACACTGTTTAGCCCCACTGTTCACTTTGTAATTAATTGTACTCCAAAATGAGTGAAGGGGAAGCAGCTGTAAAAACCCTTGAAAATAAGGGCAGCTAGTCAGATTCAGGGTAGCTGAAAGCACAGGACACTGCTGTCAGCCTGTGCCATTAGCAGACCTGAAACTGGCCTGTTCCCCTTACTTTCAAGCCTTCTAACAGTTGTTTTCAGGCTGTGCAGTGTTTGAACAGGAGGGATCTGGTATCTAGGCTATAGCCATATTGATCTAGAGGAAAAAGCAGTCAGGACCCATGCTAGAACAGGAGGGGAGCACTTGATAGTTTGGTGGCTGCACTGACATCCCTCTGCACTTAAGGAACAGGTTTACATTAAGTTCAGATAAGTGCATGTGCCTGGCAAGTTCCTGCCCTTCTTCAGTCCCCAGGCCACGCACTTAAATGGAGTGCACTGTACGTGCTGCATTCAAAGCCATGAAAGGGCACGAGCATACTTTTCCCTTCAGGCCCTAATTAGGCTGGAAGTAAATGAGGATCAGTTTTGTTTCTTTTTTCTTTTTCTTCACTTCCTCCTTCAGGGTTTTCTTGCTTATTATAATGTAGCAGATGAATTGCTGTCCCTAAGTTTGCTAAAAGAACCTATAAACCTGCACGATCCCAGCTGTGGAAGGCATGGCAGCAAGTGTAAAAGAAAATACAGAAGAAGTTAAACATAATAGAAGCAGCAGCCCTGAAAGATTTTTCAGCATTAGTTACTGTCACATGGGAATTCACCTCAGCCTTTCAGACTCCAGTACAAAGTTACATGAGTTACAGCTGAGGGAAAGTGGGTTCAAGTGTAATACCCAGGGCCTATTTGGATCATGCAGAAGAGCCTCTGAGAGGCCTGCATTTCAGACCTGGAACAGAGACAGATGGTTGCAGAACCACAGCATTCATCTGGGGGCTCTTCCCCTTGCAAAATGGATGAAAGAACAAGGAAAACTATTAAGAATCACTACGTGAATTGTCTAGTGACAGGAGTGTGGGGGCCTGGCTCTGGGTGCAGAATTTGATATTACATTGTTTAACTCCAGCCAATACAGTTCTCCAGTTCTGTGCTACTGAACACAGCCTGCCTTCAGCTCTGCATGGTTGGACAGTAGCTGTATACAGGGAGATGGTGTGTGGAGATGGCAGGTGCTCACACGTACCCTGCTTCAGCTTGGGTGCACAGTGTGGCTGCCTGGCCACCCCTGGTTAGTGACCAGTGTAGGAAATGGCATGTCATGGCAGTGCTACCCTGCTGTCAGGGCCCCTGCTAGAAGCCAGACCAGGCCTCACAGTGTTGTCTCTCACCCAGGCAGTTCCCTGCTTCTGGCCTCTTCCTCCTGTGTTTCAGCACCAGGATTTTGAAGATAGGAAAATCTCACAGAAAGTCTGGAGATATTTTCACTCCACATAATGTGAGTGACAGCAGCTGTCCCGCAACTCTGCCTGCCCCCAGCATCCACACCTGCTCCCTCAGATCCATTTTATCCCTTGGCCTTTCAGGGCCTTGTTACACATTGCGCTTTGAGCTGTTCAAATGTTGATGGGGGTTAGTGCCAGCTTGAGTTTGGAGCAGTTGCACCTTAAGGCTAAAATCTTTGACTCTTCACCCCACTGCACAGCTGCCTTGCCACTAGAGAGCTGGTGAGCAGGGCCTGACTAGGGGCTTCAGCTGTGAAGGGGCTGGTGAGCCCAGACAGGCTTCTATCCCTGCTGGTGGCGGGGGGAGTTGGCTTGCTTCCTGGGGTCACTGGAAGGGTGAGAGAAGGTGCTTTTGAGGAAGCTACTGCCCCTGCCTTGGGGATCCCATCTGCCCCCTACTTGTTTCTCCCTAAACCCCACTTCAGAACCCATCTGTGCCCTGCCACCTGGCTAGCTGGCATGTGTTCTGTGGGCTCTTTGCATGGGGTTGCACCCCTTTGGGGGTGGGAGGGGGAGTTGGTGCTAGATTTGCCTCCTGGGCAGCAGAGTTCAGTAGAATTTAGAAAGATTGTCCACACACAACAGAAGAGGGGATGCTGCATCCTGGGATGCTGGAGGACTGCAACTTGGGTGGCTCATCTGTGGAGCAGGGTGGGGGGGTGTCCATTGATGGAACATGAGCTGGGTAACACAGATCAGAAATAAACCTGCCCTGGAGTGGCATAACTTTAAACAGCCTGAAATGTGATTAAAACTAGTTTTAGGTGTTAATGTGTAGACAATCCAGGGGTTAAGAGCTCCAGGACTTCCCTCAAACTAAAGAGTAACAAGGCACTCACTTTAAGCTTCTACTCCAGCTCTGAGGTCCTCAAAAGTCCTAAGATGATCCTCCCTGCCAGAGGCTACTTGCACTCTCCACTAGAGGCTGCCATGCACCTGCTGACCCTGCACTCTGTTGGTCTGTGCAGGGTTCAGCTGCCAGCTCTTCCCCCACCTAGTTTGCCTGGTAGGGGCCACAGTTGGCAGGTTCCTTGAAGTCGCTCCCCTTCCCCTCCCCCCCCCCGCCAGGACTTCCCACCCCCAC